TGTGTGTGTGTGTGTGTGTGTGTGTGTATGTGTGCGCGTGCGTGTGCGTGGTTTGGTAACAATTCAGATCTTTTGGGAAGCGGGCTGCTTCTACCCTATTCGTCGGGGCCAACCTGGGCTTAAATTGTTTGGTTGCAACATCGCAGCTGGGAGACTAGGATAATAACATACTCGATTGTGGCGTCGATTGGGCTCTTGGACTACATGTACCATTACCAAGCATAAGTGTCACAACGTGGTGGAATCAGGCGTTCGTCAATTTTTGGGCATTTGGAGTTATTGGTATAATCACATTAAAAACTTGTTTGTTTGTGTTTCTTTCCATGAAAACAATACCCCTAGATCTATATCTTGAATAGAAGTCAAGATATTTGGAATTGAAAGAGAAGGGGTCGCCTGTTTTCAGAGGTAAAATTAGCGAGAAAATGAGCGCCAAAGTTTGACAATTTCAATTGCTTGAGACTCCTTGAAAACGATAGAATCAATTATTTTATGCATGTAATCAAAGTTTTTCTGTGAATTTCACAAGGAAATGTGTTTTTTATAGGGACACAAAAGGTGTTGATTTTTTTTAAAAAAAGAAGAAAAATTGATAAAAATTGCCAAATTGGTGGAAAAGTGATTTCACCAAAATGTCTTAAATTAGGTCGTGCGTTCGAATCCCGTCAAAGAACTGACGGCATATCTCTGTGGAAAAGGCACTTTACACGAATTTTCCACACATCACCCAGGTGGGAAAGATACCCGGCTATTGACAGCTAAAGATGTTTGTCAATTTGTTAATGGTGTTTGAACGTGTCCAATCCGCAGCTTGCACTTGATGCTACGAGGGAAACGGAGAATGCCTCTGAGTGTTTTAGTTTAGTTTAAGTAAGAGTTTTGCGGCACTTGCAATATAATAAGGTCATTATTTACAAGTGCCGATCGGAAGATTAGAAGTGTTGCAAGAGAGTGAAAAACACAAAAAAGGAGGAGAGATATGGGCGATAGACGTTTGATAGGAAAGAAGGAGCAAACACCATACCAGAGCACCCGCCAACCACCCGCCGAATGTTTTAGAGTCGGACAGGGTGATAATAGTTGTAAAGCTCGCAGAGCATACGTAGAGCGCGAATATGCGCCATGAAAAGCTATAATA